TTTCACTTTGAATTTGTGGTAGTACGGTATTAATTCTGGAGTATTTTGATTAGGTTCTTGAGTGTTCTGCCACCCGAGCACTTGGCTTGAGTTTCTGGTATTACAGATTTGAGGTAACTAAATTATGGTAACGCCCTTCGATTTCAAAGCATGTTTTAAATTGTTTTTGAGATGGTGGCAAGGTTTAAATTGATTTTATTAGCACCGAGCATGATTGGTTTGAAATGAAATGATTTTCATTTCCATTGAGTAAGAGGATGCCTACTTGGAATTTTCTTAACTGCCCTAATGATCTAAGAATTTTGTAAATTCTGATTTTTCTGTTAAAATCCATGCCCACATGGAATTTTTTTGGTTTATTCTGAAATTTGAGATTGATTTTGAATTACAGATTTTTTTGTAAATCTTGCATGGTTTTGTCTCTAATATGGTCATATTATCCGTGTGCCCGCTAGTGGGAGTAAACGCTAGCACATGTTGACACGTTTACTGATAGGACTGGTTCATTTTGTAATCTTGCCAATGGGATAATACATTGGTAATTTCTAACTCCTGCCACTAGGCAAATACATTAGTAATTTTTTACGCCTGCCACTGGGCAAATACATTGGTAATTTCTGATGCCTGCCACTGGGCGAATACATTGGTAAATTTCGACGCTTGCCAATGGGCAAACACATTGGTAATTTCTGACACCTGCCAATGGGTGTTAAACGCTGGCCATGACTTATAGATAAGACTATTACCGAATTTTCTTCTGCATTAATGGTTTGTCATTGAACATTTTGTTATTGAACTGAATCTTATTTTGTATTAACGGTTTATCATTGAACGTTATGTTATGTTAAACTGTTTATCAGGCATGCTAAAATTTTACTCACAGGTTATCCATAGTTTTACTTACTGAGTTATCTCATAGTTTTTCCTTGTCCACCATTTCAGGAAGCGAAGTCAAGGACGGGGAGAAACAAGGGAAGTGACGAGTTAGAAGGCTAGCCATCTTGTAAATTGAACATAAATTTTAGATATAAATCATGATCTTGTAAGTTAGACTTTATTTGGAGATTTTATGATATCAGAGCAAATTTTAGAATTTATCTTCAGATTGAGTGGTATCAGATTGTAGTATGATAAGTTCCGAGCCTTGTGCATTCGTGGGACCTGTTCACGAGTGCACGGCGTTTGCCATGTCTTGGATTTGGGTTTTGGGGCGTGACATATTTTGTGGTATTAGAGCTTAGGTTTAAATTAAGAGCTTAGGATTAAATTAAGCACCTCCAGATTTAGTGGTATCAGAGCTTAGATTTAATTAAATACCTAGATTTAATTGAATACCTAGGATTTGTTTAGAACTTGGCTGGCTAGTGGATTTTAGAACCGTGGTGAGACGAGTGATGGGGTTATATAAGGGACGATTCTAATTCATGTTGCCTGAATTTTCTAATCCATTTTGATGAGATGGTAATTTGATTGTTCTTGTTTCCTGCCTTCATGCCCTGTGTAGATTCATGAAATTAATCTTGTCCGCCATGTTCTTAAGACCTTGTTTTGAAACTTGGTCATTTTCTAATAGTCTGCACTTGTTTAGACTTGTTACTTGAATAAAATTTTTGTATGCTCTTTTGCCACAATTGTAAAATCTAAAGAGTTGTAGAGATCTTTTGTTATTGATCCTGTTGGTCTCTACAGCACAGCTGGTTGAGAAATTTGTTCTGTTTGTCACATGACCAGTGGAAGATGGGCAACCCTTTACTTTGTAAGAGATTCAAGGCTATTTTAGCAAATGTTGTGTGTTTTCTAGATGCATTTTAGGAGCTGGATAACTTGGTAATTTTGCTGCTCATTATCTTTCTGAAAGTCTTATAGTGAAGTTTCACTTTTTCCATTTGGAGCTTCATGGTCTTTTTATTTGCCTCATTTTTCTATATTGGTTAATCAAAAACAGTGATCATTCAATTGAAATTGCCGTGTTTTTGTG